AAAAAAAAAAGTTCCCTTGGGAGTACTATTCAGGCATAGAAGTAGAATTACTTGGATTAACAGGAATAGCAAAGCAATATAGCTTGTGACCCTGTGAGCATCTATGGGACTAGTTGTATAATCACGCTCAACAATCGATTTTAACAATGATATATAATCGATGGATTGAGAAGAATCATCATGACCAATTTTAGTACAAGTTCCTAAGAAAAGGCAATGTACAAAATGTTTTCAAGTAGGCAAGACTTTTAAATCTCATGCTCCTTTTCATTTATTCTCGCAAAAGTTTGTTAAAGCCTAGCACAATCAAAATCTAAATATTGTACAATTTTTTGGTCATACTAATTTATTGTGGCCCTCTTGTATGGACTCGAGGTGACGAACTCCGCAGTTTTGCCATTGGTTTACTGCTCATTTGGTATGAACAAAATCGTTGTCGAAAAAGGCTCAAGCTTAGGGATGCGGTACAAGTGATTTCGGTTCGTCTTGGTTAAAAGAATTCGATAATGTTAGATTAGGCTTTTTAACCAATGGGTTGCTTCCAACCAGGGGCGGACGGAAGTATGGGCGAGCCTAGGCAATTGCCTAGGCTCAACTTTTGGTGCTAATATAGTTAATATGTGCTAATAAAATATTTATATTTAATATGTATAAAAATTATAATACAAGGTTTTATTTAAAAATTTAAATAATTTCTATAAAATAACATTACTGTTTTTATTTAAGTTGATATACCTCACCGGCTAGATTCGTGTTTTTATTTAAGTTGATATACCTCACCGGCTAGATTCGAGGATATTACATTCTAACATTTTTAGTACTGATGCCATATAATAAGCTTGATAGATAAATTTATTTTTTTCAATTATAATTGATAAATATTTAAATTTTTATTGATAGAGATCAGATAGGTATAATTATTTTTGATATAGCCATACTGTCGTGCATCGGTTCAGTAACCGCGGCATTGCCGCGATTGGCTCATAGCGGTTCATATCGTCACGGTTTGAGACTACCAAGTCGACTTCAGCAAAGTCGACTCTATTAGTAAGGTTCCATGATACTCAGTCAAGAAGCCCGGCTCTCGACCGAGTCAATGTACACCTGTCGACTAGAATAAGTCGACTTCTGGTAAGATAACGGTCAGACGTATTAGGGTCTACTAACAGTTGAGTGCGACCCAGTCGACTCGACGTAATATCTCAGGTCGACTGAGGGAGTTGTAGCTCGTGGTGCCCGATAGCTTTGACACACCTCAGCATATTGCAGAAGAATTAAGGATAAGAAGGAAGCTCAGGAAGGATCTAGATGCTGACTAGGAAGTAGGCGGAATATGAACCGACCGGGGTATTCTGGACATTTCCATTAAGTCGGCCGGGGCATTTTGGGGACTTCAGGTATATATTGTACTCCTATATAAAGGACTGAGGTAATCCCAAAACCCTAACTCCCATTCATTCCAGATCCTTTTCATTACTGCTGCTGCTCTGATAGCAGCTATCATCACCTCTCTCATATACTGACTTGAGCGTCGGAGGCTCTACGCCGGAAACCCCTCCGGCGTTGAGTTCTTGCAGGTGTTCTTGCGGCTCACAACAACGGTTCGATCGCCATCACATCAGATCTAAGCTCATCCGTACCGGTTCGTCCCAGATCCGGACGTTTTCTCATTAGATCGTCCTAGATCTGAGAAGAAACCCATCAATTTTAATTTACCTATAAAATATGAATGTCAAATTATATATTGTCAAAATATGACTAATTTAAGTTATGATATATAAAAGATGATAATATATACAAATGTTATTGAATTTTAAAATATATATATACAATATAAGTTACCCAAGCGTTTAAATATAAAAGTTCTGGATGCAAATCGATATTTGTATGGACCATTTAGAATCCTTAGGAGTTAACATATAGAACTACAAAGCGTTGGAAATTAACAATGAAAAACTATACATTTAATTATAAGAAGACAATCAACAAGAAATTCTTTATAAAAACAAGAAGAACAAAAATGATGACATTTAGGCTTTTCTTAAATTAATAAATTATTTTTCAAAATGGCTTGTTTATTTTTTATTACGAAAAAATGAAAGAAAAAGGATTATTAAATATTTTTGGTATATTTCTTAATAATAATAAAAACGTAAAATAAAATATCCAGACATCATTCTCAATTTCATTTTTTAGCATCAAGTCAAATGCAAATTAAATAGGGAACCCCTCAACACCCGATTATTTCAACGATTTATTTAATTGTTAATATAAGTATTTTGTGCAGTATGGTAAAAAGTTTCTTCGAACTATCTTTTGCCCTGGCTGGTGAAAATTTCTGGATCCGCCGCTGCTTCCAACTCTTGATTCTATTTCCCTCTCGAAGGGATCTGGGAATTGCAATAATGGTTGGACTCTCATTTTAGATGCGGCTATTCGGTATTCAGAGATCAACTAGGTGGTTGGACTCTCATTTCATTTTCCCCTCATTTGGCGAAAGCTTTAGCTATCAAATACGGGTTACGCATAGCATCAGACTTGGGTCTCAATCATCATACGACTTCAACGGATTCTATAGGCGTCATAAGCGGGATTTCCTACCAATATGATCTCGGCCAACTGATTGGAGTGTTTGGAGTGTTTGATGATATTAGAGCACTCCTCATTTCCCTCAATTGTGACCGATGCAAATATTTACCAAGAGAACAAAATGGGGTAACCCACAAAATAGCGAAATGGGCGGTTGCTTCGCAATCATCCCATGTATGGAGTGATTATCTCCCTATTATCTTTCCTTCTTTCGTTGATGTAGTATCTAACTTGTTGATCATCTGATTGTATTGATCTTAGTATAAAAAAATAAATAATAAATAAATAAAGTAAGAGATGAAATTCTGCTGGCAACGCCGGATTACTTCTATTTGGCACTACTCAATCCCATGTTTACTTCATTTTTTTATGGAACACAATCACAAGCAGACCTCAGAGAACATTTCATTCAGGTTAGAATGAAATTCGACCAAAAATTCACTAAACTAAAACATACCACTAATGTAGACTAAACTTTATTTAACCAGTATATATAGGAACAAAGTATACTCACATGTGACATGGTGCCTTTCTCACGTGTTGTTTATTTACAAGCATATCCGTTACTTGACATGACATAAACAAAAGAAGCAAAAGATTGATTGTGCAAGTTAAAACAACAAGCATATCATATTGTGTATGTACATAACAATGAAGACGGTACAGTATCACTAGACTTGTGGTATGTTCGAAAAGGAGAAACCTTTATAACCCTTGTAAGCATAGTAGGCAATCCGCGTGTAGTAGGATCCGGGAATAAATAAAATTCCACCGAGTATTGCGAAAAATAGCCCTGCATCATAAAATGAATTAAGATAAGAGAAAGTTGTGCAGGTTCCATGGAAGAGCAGAGTTACAATACACAGAGTTCACGGCAAAATCAGTGGCAATAAATTCGCCTTAATGGACAAAGAAGAGATGGAAAGCCGGGAGTGTAATTAACTAAAATAAGCAGAAAAAAAAAAAAACAAATACTCAACTTACAGGAAACATTTTCCATTGAAAAGGAGAGTATATAATGAAGAAGCTCTAACATTTGAAGAGCATATAGCATGCACTGATTGATAATGCTATTCTATTTCATAAAATTTCGACCATACGGCTATAATATTTTTATGCCACTTCAATTATTCATATTATGATTGTACGCAAATCATACTACATGGAATAGAGGTTTTTTTCTTTTTTTTTTTTTCTGTTAATTTTGCCTTACCTCTAACACAGAAGACAGCAGCTCACACAAGAAAGCAGATTACATCAAATTGATTAATCATTGACATATCCAATCAAAATCCACAAATTTGTCATAAATTTTGTAGAACTGAGCTCCACCTTTATTTCAAACCTCAAAATCTTTTCTCCTTTCTAATTTTTCTTATTTAAATAAATAATCACAATCTAGTATCATCTTATAGTTACTTTTACAATAAGCTGCCAAAACCAAAGAAGCCATGAAATCTACTGCAGCAAATTGTAACTCGGATAGCATGAGAGCTAAAACTAATCAAACTACGAGACGAAGACAGTATTTAAGCCTAAGTTTCCGCATACCAAGTAATGCCTAAGTTCATCTCTGCAATAAACTCACTCCCTGCTCTTCTACTGTGGTAACTTCAGAATTTTTCAGGTGCAATTTAAAGAAACCTCACAAATTTACTTATGCTAGTTTCTTATTTCAACTGCCGTTTAGCCTCAATAACTATCATTATAAGTAAATGAAGCTTGAAAAGTTCAAAAAGAAACAGAGTCAATCCTCAGTATAACAACAATGCAACCTAATATTATCTGCACGAAATATGATGTTACCACCAAAAGCTAAGAGCTTCTCAGCTCATTAGAATCCCCAAATTTCACTCTATAAATAGCAAAAACCCATAATCAAGCTCGAAAATTCCAGAACCCGGAAATTCTGTAAAACAAATTTTAACAGATACCGTGGGCCCGATCGCCGCCGATTTCATTGACGGCCATGTAGGCACCGAGGACGATCCCGAGTGCGCCAAAAACAAAGAGGGCGACGGCGAGCGAGATCTCTTTGATCGGCGGCTTATTGCTGACGGCGTACGAGGTCTCCATCATTATGTCCTCGTCCGATATCGAGAAAGCGTGATCCACGTACGCCATTGTTTCTGAATCTTCGAAAGGTTTTAACGGGTTTTTTGTATCCCAATTTCGGTACTTTTTGATTAGGGGTTTTGGATATGGAAGGCGAAGGGTGCGTTAGTAAAGGGGAAAATGGGTCAGGAGGGGATTTTGCTTGGGGAAGAAGGGAAAACGGTGGGTACCATGAACGAAACCGCTGTACCTTGAGGAAGAAAGTTATGCTTGGGCTCTATGAAGGTTTTGGGAAGCCGAACCGAATCGAGTTTAAGGTTTTTGAGCTCGAGTTTCACTAATTTTTTAACATATTCGTGTTTGTCCCTTTAATAATTGAACAAAAGAATTTGACACTTTAATGTTGGTTCGTTTATATAGTGGAACACATTCACGAACTGTTGGAATTGTTCAACAAGTTTGTGTTCGAATTGTTCGAAAAGTTCGTGTTCGTGTTTGTTGATTTTTTTTTTTATTTTAATATCGTACATTAGGGGTGAACACGGTCTGGTTTTAACCAAAAAATTGTCAACTCGGACCACGGATCGGTTAAATGGTCGGTTAAAAAATTCGGTGATTAATTTTTTAAAAAATCCAGAATAAACGGTCCGGTTAACGGATACCTGCGGCCAACCGTCAGTTTAAAAAATCCAGTGATTAATTTTTTTAAAAATCTAGAATAACCGGCCGGTTAACGGATACCTGCGGCAAACTGTAGGTTTAACCGGATCGGACCGGTAAATATTAAACAACTATAACATATATATATACACATTCAATCATTCATTATGGCCGACAAATACAATACATTCGCTTTCATTTTTTAGCCTTTTGTTGACTTAATTTTGTAAGACACTATAACTTTTCACTTTTTCCCACTTCGTTTTTTCATTTTCAGATTTTCCCACATTCTCTTCTTAATTTTTTGAGTTAACTATCATTTTGGACGAAATGTGTTGTTTTATGCTTATGGGACGAATTGTGTATTTTTTATTTCATTATTGTTGTTTTTCTTAATGTTTAGGACCAAATAATCTCTTTTGGGCCCAAAATTGGAAAATAAAAATTAAGCCCAAAATGAAAAAAATAAAAATTGAAGGCCAAAACAAGGATTTTTGATTTAACCGGTTAACCGCCAAACCGGACTGTCCAATGCGGTCCGGATTGTGGCCGGTTAAAAAATAAAACCGGTCCAGTTATGGACAAGAAAAAAATTAACCGTTAGGTCCGGTTTGGTCATGGTTTGAGTTAAAACCGGACCAATTCAGACCATGAACACCCCTATCGTACATGTTGTTTTGTTTAATATTAATATATATCTATATTTATATATTACATTATATATGTATATACTCAGGGACGGAGCCTTATTGGGACCAGTGTGGGTCTAGACCTACACTGGAAAAAAAAAACTAATGTTAGTATTGACCCATATTGTTTAATAAAAAAAATACTAGTTATGTCATATAAGCCCAATAAACTGCCCAACTCACAAAGACTAAACCCTAGTATTACTACTAGCCCATATGAGCCCAACAAATAAACTTAATATAATAAACTAATAAAACATTTAACAAAATAATTAAACAAGAGAAAAGAGTACATAGATCACGCAGACAAATATAGAGGAAAAAATAGGAGGAAAAAGGAAAGAATCAAAGAGTTTGTCATTTTCCGGTCCAACTATACGGGAAGAGCACTTACAAGATAACGGAATTTTTCTGTTTGTTTTAATAGAGGTAAAAATTACTCTTCTTTATTTTTTTTGGATAGTGGTAAATATATTATTTTTTATGTAGAAATTGCACATTCAAGCCCTTTTTAGGTTTTTTTTCACAATTATTTAAAGTGTGATATGTCAAAATGGGGAATTTCATTTATTGTAAATTTATAATATTATTTTTGTATATCAGACACTGAAAGATATTTTCAAAAAAGGACATGTCAACAAAATTCTTGTGAAAATGTCTCAAAAGAAGATACTTTGAATCCAATTAGATTTGAGAGAAATTCTAATATCTTTGGACAGAAAGAATATAGGACGGGAAATTCTGGTATCAATGCGAAAATTAGTCAAGATAATCACGTTTATCCTCATTCATCAAGACACCTTTTTTTGCCCTTTTCATTAAGTTTTTAATATTTTTTTTAATTATATAGTTAGCCCCCCACTCATTATACTTGCTAGATCCGCCCCTGTATATACTATATAATACATAAAATTATATTTTTTTGCTCGCGAACGGTCGTGTAACACCCCTCCTTACTGTAAAATCAGAGTAGCGCAATAATTCGCAAAGTCTTTGAAAAATAAAACCTTTTTACTTCGCGAAAACTGTTTCGGGGTGCTACTTACTTAACTTAGAAAACCGTTGTTTTAACTTAATAAAAACGCCCGGTTACTGAAAACTTTATTTTCTTAAAAGTTCGTCAAAGTGATGAGTTCGTCAA